AATTTGAACAATTATTGAGTAATATTGGCCAACGTTTGTGTCATTTTGAACATTTACTGTGTAGCGTTGGCCAACTTTTCAGTGATTTTGAACATTTTTGTGTGATTTTTAAACATTTTTGAGCCATTTTCAACAACTATAGAGCAATATTGACCAACGTTTGTGTCATTGTGAACATTTTTTTAGTGATCTTCAAGCATTTTTGTGTGATTTTCAAAATTTTTAAATTAATTTTCAACAGTCATTGAGTAATACTGGACACCCTTTTTGTCATTCTGAACAATTTAGGACAGATTTTGAGTAATTTAGACCTCTATATTTTATTGTGAGCGTCCAGGGCAGCGCTGGGCACCAGAATAAATCTGGTTTCTGTTCATTTTCTCAATAACCAACGTTTAGCACCAGTATTATGGGATGTCTCATAGACTGAACAGTAAAACTGCAGCAGTTTAATGTCAACAAGAGAAAAAAAATAAAACCGAGAAGAGACTCAAAGTGACTTCATGTTGTGTTTTAAATATGTTCAGATACACAAACTGCACTTCAAATACAAAACAGACACATTTTTATGATAAATAAAACCGTTTTTTAAGTTGCTACAAGAACAAAAACTGATGGAAAAAAATGTAACTGAAGGACCTTAACAGTGAATTTATCTAAACCTGGACCCTCCTCCGTGGACTCTACGGAGCTGTAACTCTGAAAACATTCACAGTCTGAAGGTGGAAGTTTACCAGCTGCTCAGATGGAGCTCCTCTCTAACGTGGTTTTTATTCTCCTGCTTCATCTGTTTCCTGCAGACAAGTTGTGCTTCAACTCGTTCTTCAACAACGAGGACATGCAGGAGATCACCAAGCACTTCGTGGTCTGTCACGTCGACGCCCCGGGGCAACAGATCGGAGCTTCACAGCTTCCTCAGGGGTAAAAACCAACAAACACACTCGACAGCATCTCGGCGTTCATTCATCGTTTATCAGATTATTAATTTATTGTGTGTTGGACTCAGAAATGTGCAGAAAACGGTGGAACGTTTGTCAGGTTTTATGAGGCTTCTGTAAATACGTTTAGATTGTTTCATCTCTGATCCGATTTAAACCATTTGGTCGTAAACTGGAGACTTAAAACTGTATCTGTGAAGTTTTTTCTTTATATATTTTAACAATAGATCCACCGTCAGCAGGTTTTTTATTTCTTAAACTTGAGGCTGTTTGAACGACAACATCTGAGGAACTATTAAAGATAAAAACCTGAAATTTTCTCTGTTAATTCTCATCATGACATTGATTCAGAAAAGTTCCATTGTTCCACGTGTAGCTGCAGCTACAATAATGCAAACTAAACATGCAGAATACTTTAAACATGAAATATTTGGTGATAAAATTGGGAAAAAAAGGTTGTTTTAGTATAATTTAGTTGCTTAACTTAAGTTGCACCAATCGTACATTTTTTTCCCCCAAAAACTAATATTCAAAATGTTTCAAAATTAGTACAAAAACTTGGTTAACATGACAGAAAACTGTTTTGACAATGATTAAAACTGTGTCCAATATGAAAAAAAAAAAAACAAAATGACATAAAATTGACTTGAACATTTTAAAAATTTGTCAAAATTGACTCAGAATTAATTCCAAATGAAAAGAACCTTTTCTAAGAAAAAACCCATCCACAGTTAAAAATATGTCCAATATTAAATAAAAAATGACCAAAATGACATAAAACTGACTTGAATCTTGTTCAACATCGGTCAAAACTTGACTCAAGTTTTTTTTAAATGAAAGTAAACTTTTCTATAACAATTTTAAAAAACATCCATGAATAAAAATGTGTCCAATATGGAAAACAAATGACCAAAGTGCAATAAAATTGCCTAAAATTGACTCAAATATTTTTCAAAATTAGTCAAAAACGGTTCAAACTGACTCACAAGTTGTTTAAAATGAACGGAGCCTTTTCTACGACGACAAAAATGACAATTTTTAAAAATTATTTCACAAAAAAATGATTAAAAATGTGTCAGAAATCATGAAAAATTGACAAAAAATAAAAAATAAAACAACCAAAAGGACGAAAAATCACACAAAAGCTAAATATGAGTAAAAAATCTGATCCAGATAAAATAGTTCTGGAGTTTTAATATGATTCTACAAATATAACCAGATTATATTTTTCATGTTTCGACCCATTTATAGGCTGATAATCAGAGTCAGCTGTTGTCTTTTATACTTACTGACTTTATAAAAATAGTTTCTATAAATATTCATCTAACTTTCCGTCCAGCTGCGACTTTGGTCTTAAAACTGGAGCTTATCAACACAAAGCTGCAGATCAGACGATTCTTTGACAGTTTCCGGCTGATAAATGCTCATTTCTTAGATTCATTCTCCAACCTGCTGCCTGGTTTTCAGAGTTCAGAGAGTTTAACGGTTAAATAATTTAACGTGAGTCGTGTCGTCCTCCACAGGTACCAGTATCCCACCATGGACCAGCTGGCCGGGATGCTGCCCACTGTGGTCCAGCACTTCGGGTCGGTGCTGCTCGTTTAACGTCACGTTTGTTCTGTCTGTTTCATCTCCTGTTGAATCTTAATTTAGCAGCTTTAAGTTGCTTTTAATGCTCCTAATGTTTTGTATTGAATAGAAACAGAAGTGTAGTTAAAGTGTATGTTGCACGATGCTCCCCAGGTTTGTCTTTTTCTTGCTTTGTTCTGCAGAAATCATCATGATTTCAGATTTTTTTGTGACCATAAAGACAGACTGGGATCAGTGTGCTGAGGTTCTGCTGCCAGCTGGATGTAATTGTGGCTGAACACTGAGTTCCAGTCGCAGCTGATCAGAGGAACTGATTAAATCCTGTTTTATTCTGTTTTATCATCCACGTCGGTTTATGTCTTTTTATGAAAAGCGTCTAACAGAGCTGCTCTGGTTCAGGTTCAAGAGCATCGTGGGCATCGGAGTCGGAGCCGGAGCTTATATTCTGGCCAAGTTCGCTGTGAGTCTCGTAAAAAACCTGAAATCTTCTGTGACTGAGACGTTTCTGCTGCTTTTGGCTTCATTTTGCTGCTGCGCTGTAAAAAATATTCAGTAAAAACTATTAAAATAACAACATTAAAATGTTGAATTATGATATTTTTAGCAGATTTAAATAAAGTAAGAAATTGTGAATTTTACATTTAAACATCCTAAAAGATGAATTACTACTTTTAAAATGTCAGATTTTTGGTGCTGATATTATTTACAGTTGTTTTGTTGTTGTTGTTGTTTTACAGCCAACGTCTAAATTAATACTTTCTGTCTTTGATTTTATTAACAAAACAGGAAAAATCTGCAAAATATTTGCAAAATTCCAGTTAAAAATGCTCATTTCTCAAAAATTATTACCGTATTTCAGCGTCACTTTTTACGTTTCTATTCTAGTTTTATTTGAACTCGCTGGTTTTTATTTTGATTAGTGTCTTGTAATTATATTTAATTTCCATTCTATGATTTTATTCTCATTT